CTAAGTCTGTTACATTATCGCTTTTATATTCTAAAAATCTTACAATTATATTATCCGAACCACGATGTAGAGATCTTCTCTATGTGATTATGCCGTGTATAAATGTCATCGTGTTCGTTGAGCTCGTTCCCATGGGTGCATGATGGATACATATTATACAATATATAATTAAAAAATGATTATACTATAATACTTGTATTACTATTGCTAAATGAAATGGGTTTATAAGTTATAACACCTATATGTACTTGATATGAATTGGTGGAAATGTGGAATACATCTACACTATATTATTATTTATACCTAGTTCCTAAATCTATGACTTGGGGTTCTATCAAAATTAATTGAATCATTTTTGGTACGGGGTTTTTTTTTAAATTATTATTTTTCTAAAAATAGATGAGACAAAATAATTCAACATTTTCAAAAATAAATAATTTGATACGTATTGACTGGGAATAGTTACGTACCGACTCGTATCGAAGTCTGAGCCTGAAACAGGTCCGGTACCTACGTATCACTTGTAAGTGTAACTTTTTAGACGCTCAAAATTAAATCGATACGTAGGTACATACGTAGGTAAATAGATACTCCAAGTTCTTCGTTGAAAACCTTCATTGTCTCACAATAATAATTTGATCGCCTTGAACATTTTCCAGAAAACTCCAATATGGCGAGTAATATTTTTATTGAAGGAAAAATTTGTGAGTTACAATTTAACGTTGACGCAGCCAATAAAATATGAAGGTAGTTTATCAAAATAAATATGCATTTTCAGATATTATTTACCTATTTAATTTCAAAATACGAACCAATATTATTGAAATTCGTTCGACCCACGATCTAAATATACAATATTATGATGGTTAATCGAAATGYCGCCTTTTACGATGTCGGCTTGCTAACAGTATTACCAAGTGCATAAATAATTTTTCCGTCATATACTAGTATTTCTACATTTTCGGTCAACCTGTTCAATCTTATCGTATTTGTTGTTATCATTTATACGCTATCTTAAGGCTCGGCCGCACGGGAATATCAATAATAATTTAACATCATTTCTTTTTTTCTCTTGCAAAAGATTGCAAAGAGAATCTCATAGAAAAGAGATTAAAAAAATTAAAAACCCAATAGGTACAATTTGTTATTGACGTTATTGTTGTTATGTTAAAATTATGGTTACTATTCTTTTGYGTCTTGTATAATATGATTTCAGTTGAATATAGTCCACAAACATTGGTTTATTCTGGTCGATAGTTCATATTCTTTAGTATTGAATAAACGTAAGTATAGCACAATAATTTAAATATAAATTGGTRTTGGTTTATCTTCGAAACTTACTCAATCTATACAAAAACTAAGCGATTTAATACATTTGATATAAAGACTAATACCCAATAAAAGTTGAATAGATTTTATAAATTAAAATAAAAACTTTATTTGTTTAGTTTACTTTAATTAATGTCTTGGAATAAACAGGTATGATTCCAAAACTATCTAAACATGCACGGTATTAAAAGTACTTATAGGACATTAAAAGCATTTTAGAATATCCGCATAACCACATACTATTATATTGATATTTATTAAGCTATTATATTATCAATTATTATTTCTAATTTGTTTTGTTTTTTTTTTGTTGGCAGGTAGCATTTGAGCTTTGCATGTTGTTACCGTCTTTCATACATTTTTCATAAATGGCTGCTTATATAAATCRCACTATTGGTGATTCATTTATAGTTCCTCGTAATCCATCAACAGATGAACAAATTTCTTCACCTTTACAGGTGTTTGGCCAGGCTAAAAAGCAAATCAATAGTATATTTGTTGATATCCAAGAATATGTGGCTGATNTGAAGTTTGATTCATTCTGCTTGTTTTAAAAATAATTTATTTAAAAATTTAACTTATACATTTTCTTTATTAGGTGCGTAAGCAACATATGGAGCGCGCTACAGATTTTTTGGTGAAAGAGTTGAAAGTTTGCACACAAGAGGAGGCAGTGTCTCGTGTATTTTTTATTTCAGCTAAGGAAGTATTACAGGCTCGAGTAAAAGAACGCAATGGACAAGCTATAAATAATGGAGCATTAGCTGAAGGTTTTAGTGCTAGATATATGGAATTTGAAGAATTTGAACGTAGATTTGAGGAATGTATCTCAAAATCAGCAATTAAGACTAAGTTTTTAAATCATTCACAACAAGGAAAACATTTAGTCAAGTAAGATTTTTATTAATTATTAATACTTATACTCCTCATTGTAATTATAAAAATAAGAAAACACTATGGTACAAATGTAATTACAATTTTTTTTAAAAATAAATACTACATTGCTCCATTCTGCATAAGCATTAAACACGATTCTTAATGGTTATCAATTTTAATTTAACAGCGGCCTGGCAACACTAGTTAGTCACCCTACTGAGTTACCCATTAGTAAGTCTGATGAGTTCCTGTGCACAAATTAGACGCTGTGGCTTATTTTAAACGTGAATGGAGTATAGAGATTAAACATTAAAAATKTTGTTTAAATAATTTGAATTATTTTAAAACTGAAAATTCTTGTGTTATTTCTAGAGATATGTATACAATTATGGAAAAAGTTTACAACAGAAGTAAAGAACTAACACATTCAAAAATGTGTCAAAAAAAAGAATTTCAAGAGAAATTGAATTTTACAGAACAACAACTTGTATGTATAACAAATCAGATGAAAATGAAAATCCATCAGATGGTTGATGATGTGGAGGATAAGGTGAATTTACTATATACTATGTGTGTGTGTGTATATTAAATAACTATTTGCTATTTGCTTTTGGTTTTAGGTGTCTAAAGCCCTTAATGATGAAATTCGCAGATTATCTACTTTAGTTGATGAATTCAATTTACCATTTCACCCAGAATCATTAGTTTTAAATGTTTATAAAAAAGAACTTCATAGCCATGTCGAATCAGGGCTTGGTAGCAATTTACGAGCTAAACTATCCACCGCATTGGCTATGAATATAGATCAAAGTCAAAGAGAAATGATTGATAAGATGTCAACGTTATTGCCAGAAGATAAACGGAACATTAATGTCACAAATCCYAAACGTGAACCATTTGAAGTTTTGTATCGTTTACACTGTGATAATCTATGTGGAGATTTCCACGAGCAACTTGAATTCAAATTCTCTTGGGGCTTATCAAAATTAATTACTCGTATATCATCATTAGCCAATTGGTCACGTGATCAATCAAGGGTTCTTATAGTAAATATCTTAAGCAATTCAATTTTTTTTTTTTTGATTGAATTATTCAATTGTCATTRCTATTGTAACATAATTATTTCTAGTCCCCATCTCAAAATCCATCAACCAGTGCTGTTGACGGTTCATTTAGTGGATTTGATAATAGTTTAGCTGTGGAACAAAACTTATCCATGATATCACGTGTTCTGGCTGCATCTGTGGGTACTCACGGTACTGTRGGAGGACTCGTTTTAGGAGGATTTGTAAGTAATACTACATTTGTAATATTGATTGGAATTTAAATTTTCTYTTTTTTAGATGCTCAAAACAGTTGGGTGGCGTTTGATTGTAGCTGCTGGTGCTGTATATGGGGTTCTTTATTTATATGAGCGTTTGTCTTGGACAACAAAAGCAAAAGAAAGAGAATTTAAGAGACAATATGTCGATCATGCTACTAGGAAGCTTCGTTTGATTGTTGATCTCACATCTGCGAATTGTAGTCATCAAGTACAGCAGGAACTCTCTACTACCTTTGCACGATTATGCCAATTAGTTGATGAATCTGCTAACAATTTAAATGATGAAATGAAAAAATTGGACCAAGAAATAAACATGTTATCTAAGTCAACTGAAATCGCAAAATTCTTAAGAAGCAAAGCAGATTTTTTGAAAGTAGAGTTGAAGCARTTTGATGATACGTTTCTATGTTTAAATAACTAGATAAGTAGTCAAGATGTAAAACGATTGTATATTATACCTACTTGTTGAGTATTTCTTTATATTATTTTTAGAATAGGTATATAATGTTTATTTT